CACAGCTTTGGTTATGAAAACCGTCCATGGAGCATCTCAGCCAATCTATATATTTGTTAAATTTCTGCAAATACTGGGGTGCTCCCACCTGTCCTGCCCTCAGTTCACTGCTTGCCTGAACTCCTGGTAGCCTGTTCATGTTGAACACAATCCAGAGAGCTGCAGTATCACTGGGGACAGTCTACTGGGTTGTTCAACTTTAATGCCTTTTTAGGTTTTCACCAGAAGGCTAACTCAGGGTTCGTTTTTTAATAAACGCACTGGAATAAAGAGCTAATCTTGTACTTTGACTTCCATATCAATCGGAAAGCGCAAGCTGATGAGCTTATTTGCGTGTTAGTGAATTCGTACTTTAAACGCTCAGACTGCAATCTTAATTGTTTCTCTCTGAAGTCCTCCCTGCTATTTTCTGTTTGCTTAATTTCTCTGTCCTGATTGTATTGGTTTCAGTACTGGGGGGCCGGCAGTCTCTGCAGTTCCTGTGGGGACATCTTGCGGTGGTGGTGATGCAGTCAGTGAGGCTCGATTTGCAGCTGTGGCCGGGCATCGTTTAACTGAGACGATTAGTGTGTATTGGTGGCCTGTAGCCCTTGTCTGCCTGCAGAGGCCTGCTGGACCTGTTGATTATTGTATGTTGGTGATGCCTTCATCTTTATATTGGCTCTATAGTAGAGGTGTATCAGTGAAAGCTCATATACTACTTTAGTTTCACTGTGTCTCAAATACTCAAGTCTAAATTTGTTTATATAAATAGCCAGGCAGTGTCCGGCTGTTATTAGATACCTGGTGCATTGTGTAATGCACACATATGGCTAGGGCAATATTGATTTTTGTAATGGCTAGCATGCAGGACAGGAAGCCCCATTTCCATAGCGATGACAACGTGTGGCTCCTGTAAGCTGCATATTTGCTGCCAGTGGATTTTCATTCAGTCATTGTAACTGCGTCACAGTTAGGGTGGGGTTTTGTGCAGTGTGCAACAAATTTGCAGTCTACTTCCTGTTGCAGAGCATTGTGGGAGAATTTCTGGGCTGATCTTTCAGTAAAGCGGCAGTGTGCTGTTTATAATGAGATGTTTGTGGAAATGTATGTGTGCGTGTTTGTCAGAGTAATGCTGTTTGCAGACACAGTTGACTATTGGCAGTATTCCTCCAGTACTCACAAATGAAATATTATTATTGGTAGACATGTTGCAAGTAGACCATGTGTTTTTTGGTGGCTTTATATTATAGTGGAAAAGTAACTATTAAACCAGGGCTGGGTCATTTCGAGGTCAGTTTGACGTGACTCCTATATTTAAACTTACGTGTTTTACATACAAAAATTCTGGTTAATATATTTACCCGGCATCTGCTGCAACTCAGGGTGTCCTGCGAGTCCTTTCTATGCTATTCCTACTCCCAGGCACAGTGGCTTGCTGTGAATAATGTGGATAATCATGTTGTGCAGTATAAAAAGAGAAAAACCTGTAGGAAATGTGTTAATAGTGATATTAGGAGATGCAAGCCTTTCGCGGTAAACACCCACACGTTTGTCATTGCCTGTTTATGTAATTTTGTTTGGGTGGGTGTCTCCAAAAGTGTAATGGGAAACCCTTGTCGTCAATCTGCTCCCTAATCTGCAACCTCCTCCAGTGCAACATCTAAATCCATGTGCCGCTGGTGGTCACGTCTTCACCACCCTTTAATCTGGAGGTTAGGCCGTGTGCTCTAGGTCTGTCTCTCACAGCACAGAAGTGTGACAGCCGGTTTATAACTGTGTTGGATGAGGGCTAGGGCCAGGTGAGTGTGAGAAAACAGGGTGCGATTGGGCATGTGAGTAAATGAAAGGGAGAGTGAGTGAAAAGGGAAGCAGCCTGAGGGAAAGAAAGAGCGAGTGAGTAGAGAAGCGATGGGGAACTTGACTAAAGGAATGAGTGAGTGTATGCATATAGAGAATCATCTGCCAAGTGGAAGTAAGTCAGCCGAACAGGTCATTATGTAATGGGGTGTTGAGTAGCCATCCATGTACATTCTCCTTGGGAACGTCTTTGGCTGGACACATGGCCTTTCTGGCTTCTCTTATCCTTCCTCTCTACCCTGGCACTGTGTGTGTGGGCCACATGTCATCTTTGGGGTAAGGGTTGGTTGCAGGGGTGTTGTCAGGAGTCAAGGTTTGAGGTGAGTCTGTGTGGAGTTTGCCCGTATTGGGTGGTATATCTCTGTGTGCGGGTGCGTGTATGTTTTCGGAGTTGTGTCAGGAGTGTTTTTGTATGTGTGTGGCCTCTCTGTGGTTGTGTGGGATGAATCCAAGTAGAACCCTGTGGTGCTCCCTGCCTGCTCGCTCCGATTAGCTTCGACATGATGGGGGGGGGGGGGGGGGTTCGGGGCGAAGGAGAGAACAAAACCCGCACGGGGTCTGTAGGTGGGGGGGGGGGGGGGGTTCGGGGCGAAGGAGAGAACAAAACCCGCACGGG